AATACAAGTCCTCCTTCCAAATGCCCACCCAGAGGGACCTCCAAGGAGCTATGAGGTATCTTCCAACTTCACAGACTTCTAGGGCATACTAGACTCCTCTGGGCTCCACCTGGTCCTCAGGCCTGCCTCCCTCTCCAATAGTCATAGCTTGTGGCAAGGACCTCAGAGGCCACATACTTGAGTGTTGGGCCCTCCACAGAGCTGGCCTTCCATCTACACCAGGGCCAGACAGGGACAGCAGAACAGGCACCCAGGACACTGAGGGGTAGGTCCCATACTGTGTGGGCAGCATCTGCCATGGCCACAGTTCCACTCCAGATTATAGATAAGTCAGAATACAGGAGTTCCATGGCTTTCTGGAACTCTGATTCTGAGGCTCAGCACCAAGATATATGGTGCCTGAAGGAAGAGGTTTGGCTGCCTTTGTACTCCATACACAAGCATAGGCATACTCTAACATACATACACACTTAGGGAGGAACACACCTGCATGCACATACATATATGTGCACACAGACAAACATGCCCACACATGCCTCTGCAACTCCTCTGGAAAGTCAGGGACTACAATGACATTCCTGTCCCTGCAGCCAAAGCCTTGTAACTAGGAGACAGGGCAGACAGACAAAAAGAACACAACAAAGGTCTGTCACCTCAAAGGACCAAGACTTTGTTTTAAGTCATGAAATAACACATTTGTACACACAATAAAAGGGAAACATGTAAAACGATCCATTTTATGCTGCCATTGATCTTTCATATGGGCTGTGAGAAGCTCCAGGAGGCACTGCCTCTTTCTGCTGGTGACAAGGACAGCAATGTGCCCTATTTCTGCATCCCCAAGTCCTGCCTGGCTCTTCCTCTACTCTAACTAGCACCTTCTCCCAGGGCTGTGTGCTGTAGGTCTGCATCTCCAGAACCTTGGAGTCATGGATCCACTGTACAGCCCTGGACTCCCCCATGTGATTCTGGGCGCACCACACCAGGAGCTTGTGGGAAGGAGGCTGAGGAAGGGACATGGGCTTCTCAGATCCCCGAGGAGTCCCATCACACCAAGTCTCTGGAGAGTATCTCTTGCTGCTGGACCTATGGACTCTGGAGTGCTGGGACAAATGAAAATATCTTGCTAGGCTGCTAGCCACCAGGCTCTCCTGCATGGTTAAGGCCAGCTAACCAGTCATGATTCCACTGTTCTGGTAAGGTGAGTGCCAAGGCCTCCAAGTGACTCCTCCCTTGTCCAGTTTTTTCCATAAGACAGAGAGGAAGGTACTGTAGACTGAGACTCCTGTGTCATGATGACGCTCTCATTACTAGACGACAGGCCTGACTATGATAGAGTGATCTGAAGCCAGTGTACAGGATCCAAGGCCTTATTGGATGTCCCAGCGCTCCCCAGCTACAGGACCTCCAAGCTCTGTCTATCTGGCTAGGCCTTGCTCTGCCTCTATGATTAACTGGAGTCTCGCTGTGATGGGAGGGATAAGCTAGGGGCTTCCTAGTCACACTCTTCCCTGAGGACAGCAGGGCACCATCTTAAACTTGTCCAGGCAGTGGGTCTAAGCTGCAGGACTCATGGGGCCCTTCACTGGGTCAGAAAGAGCTTGGAACTCTGTAAGAAGCCCTAGAAGGGCTGCAGACAGTTCCACCCTCTAATCAATCAGGTGACAGGGGCTACAAAGTATGTACCCTTAGTGGAAAGAGCCCAAGTGACATTAAGGGCTAAACAGAATTGTTCTGTGGCAAGTGACTCACAAGAAGGTCCCAGGCCTGGTGCCTGCTTCTGCAGCCACCAGTTCACAAAGAAATGGGGTCTCCAGGTCAGGCCCTGAGGGACCATACAGTTCCTATATATAGCACAGCTGGCCAAGTCTGTCCCTGTCTATCTGGTCCCCAACTGATACCAACTAGTGAGACCCACACTGCTGGCTTCGGAGATCCTCCTGGTCTAGCTCCATGGAAACCAGGAATGTTTACTATGCAGGATTGCTTTTTCAGTGGAAAATATGTAAAAACCTGTTCTTCCATCCAGAAAGCTTAGAATTGGAGGTGGTTAATAGCTTGATGATCTTCAGTATCTGTTGGGTCAGGTCATATCAATCTTCTATAACCAGGACAAGAGGTGGCTAGTAATCTAAATGACCATTATTATATTACCTGTATAGCCATAGGCTTCTCCAAGCTTCCACAACCAGGACCAGAGGTGACCAATAGTCCAAATGACCTCTTTGCTATCTGTATGACTGAAACCAGTCTAGATCCTTCTTTAGACCCCTAAGCTAGCACAGGTAGCCTGTCTCTAGAACTCATCTTCTTGGAAGAAATGACGGGTACCCTGAGTTGAGTTTAGATGTAATTATGCTTCCTTGTGCACCAGGGGTTCTATTACACCCAGAACTCCCCCCCCCAATTATACTGCATTTAAGTTAGTTGGTAATAAATTGCCTGGCATCAGACTTCCTGAGATTTGATCCAGGTTGATGAAGTCAATTGAACCAAGTTTTCATTCTCAACTCTTGGAGGATCACTGCTGGCCTTGACACCTGCAGGGACCCCTCACACAAGGAATCCCATCCAAGTGCCACAGGCCGTTGAAAGTTCACAGTGTAGTTGCTAAAATTAATGAGGCCTTGTGTTGTGACCTGGGAGGGTCATGCCTGGGGCACATTCTCCCTAAAATATCCCATCTGGAGGAAGCTGCTATGCTTTCACTATAATATGGCACCCAAAGTGTGAAAATACCAAATTTACAGGTGCTACAGATGTGTGAGACTCTGAGCTGTATGTGGGTAGAGACAAGTGTAGGGTCCTGAGCCTGACTCTCATTAAGGGGTGCCCAACTGCAGGGGCTACTTGCAGCCTGAGGTTCCACCTGCCCTGGCTGTTTTACTTACCCAGATGGGGTCTGTGCCAAGGTTAAGTATGAGGGCCTGAACTGTTTGCTAGGAGAAGCATGAGAAGCTTTTGAGCAAACATAGATCCTCAACTAGCCTTGACCAAAATAACCTTCAATTTTGTCTCATAAGCTTTTCCTTTAAATTCTGTGTTCTAGTATGAATGACAATAGGAACTGGTTTTTCCTCAATGGTGAAAGGAGTTACAAATATGGGAAAGGAGACTGGAATAACTCAGAGGTTCTGCATTGAATTGGAGGTGTCATTATGAACCTATGAAGATCTGGGGGAGGTTTTTTGTGTGCATGAGTTTGTGTGTGTATCCCAGACACAGAAGTTGGGTATCATCCTTAATTGGCCTCCACATACATACATACGTAATACATAATACATGCATACATACATACATACATACATTCATACATACGTACAAATAATTTTCAAAATAGAATCTCACTGAACATGGAGCTCATCAATTGGCTAGACTGGATGTCCAGCAAGCACCAGGGATCCTCTTGTCCCTGTCTCAAATGCTGCTGAGTCTCCCCTCCATCTTTGTGAGGATTGGGGAATCAAAGTTAGGATCTCATGCTTGTGTAGCAGTCACTTTAACTAACTGAGCTGTCTCCCCAGGCCCATGGAGATTTTTAGGTGTGCATGTGCCTATGTATGCACAGAAGCAAGGAGACACAGGGTGTGTGTTTTCTCACTGAGCTCCTTGAAGCAACAGGCCCAATGCCCAGATCTCCCAGCATCCAAATCTTTGAGAACTCCCAATGTCATGGATGTAGCTCCAGTTTTCATCCAAGTCTCTGGGTTCCACATTGGAATAGAAGGGCTCTTCCTCCATCCCTGGTCCTGATTTGGGTGCATACCACTAAAGGCTAAGAACCTTTATGCTTCATGCAGACAGCACTGGACCTTCTGCTTAGAGAGCTTCTCTGGCCTCTGAAAAACCCAAGCTCTGTCATGACTCTCATGCTCCAGTGATCCCCAGGTCTGAGCTCATCTTTCATTAGGTGAGGTGTCAAAGCCCAAGGCAGAAGTCATCAGAAAAAACATGCTAGGGTGAGTGACAGAGTCAGAGTCATGTAGAACCAAGGGCTAGTTGTGGTGGGGAGAAGAGGGGACAAGGGATCCAGGACAGCTCCCCTGGGACCTTTAGACAATCATCTCCTGTCTCTTAAAGGGAAATGGCAATACTAGGGAAGGGATTGGGGGGGGGTGGCTCCAACTCACAGGAGGCCAAGCACACAGTCCCTACAAGGTCTCACCCCCAATTCAGGTCAGTATTCACTCCCTTCTTAAATCATTCTTGCTGTGGGTGACTTATCTAGGGAAAGAACTCATTGTGGGTGCTGCTAAAATCCAGGAGCCCCTCCCAGAGGAGCAGGACAATCCTACTGCATGGAGAGGATCCAGAATCAGATCCAACACCAGGCAGATGATAGCTAGGTGCCGCAGAATGTAGACCTTGGGGCAGCCAGGGGCCACCCCAATTCCTCCGAGTGGTTTATTCCATTGTGGCCAGTGGCCCCTAGGCTGGGCTGGAGTCGGAAAGGGCAAGGCCTATTCCTCTTCCTTAGAAGTAGGCACCCTTAGGTGTCCTCCTAGGTTCAGGGGTTAATGAAAATGCTCACACAAGGCTGTGACCGAAAGAGAAACCAAGAACCAGGTAGATGTGAATCTTTACTTACAGAAAAGCAACAGAGCCAGAGGCCCACCAGGGGCAGGGGTTTCAGCGGGGTGCTTTGGGTCAGGAGCACAATTACTGGGTGGAGAAGCATCGGGAAGTACGCAGGTCAAAGTAGCTGGTGGGGGATGCTGTGAAGACAGAAGGGACAGGCTGAAAAGGACCGAGGGCTGGTGTGCTGGACAGGAAGACAAGCCCTGTGCACAGACCTGGAGGTAGCCCCAAGAGAGGGTGCACATCCGAGTAGGTTTCTGGGCCTGGTGGGAAATGAGGGATGTGGGGAAATGGGATGGGGCGAGAGGGAGGGAAAGGGTGAGAAAGATGGGCAGGGTAGGGCAGGGCAGGTCAAGCCTGTGACACTGCTAGCTAGACAGCGCCTGTTTAGGATGGACACACTTACCCCAGTCACTGGGGGCATGGGGGGGGAGGACGACAGTCACTGGGGGGCCTGGGACGGCATGCCCTCCGCCTTCTGCGGGTCTTCTTTCTCTCTCATAGCCAAAGGCCTCCCTGAAGGCTCTGTGCCTGCTGCCGAAGCCGCTGTCGCTGCAGTGGACACCACCACCGCCACTGGGATGGGGCCCTTATGCTCCTCTTTGGAGGCCCGGAAGCTGTTCCCCCAGACGGCGGGCATCTCGGTAACATGCTTGCGGTTCAGCGGGTAGGCCCCGGCCCCGATGGCTGTCAGGATGCTGCGGTGGCGCTCGGGGTCCATTTCCGTGTAGTACATCTCCAAGGTCAGCGGGGTGCAGATCTTGTGCTGCAGCAGAGGTATATTCCGGACCAGCAGGGGGACCGGGGATCATGGTGGAAGAAGAGGAGGAGAAAGGGTCATAATTGAAAACCTACAAAGGCAGCTTTGGCTTCGGGTCAGGGGGTCAGAGGGTCAGAGCCCGAGGCTCCTTGGAAAAGGGGGTGGTGTGGGGTGGGGCCTCTGCCTATGAGGAGTCTCTCAGAACCATGCTGTGTGGGAAAGGCAGAAAGCACAGACTGCTGTGAGGGACCATGCTTGTAATTCCGGCACTGGAAAGGCTGAGGCAGGAGGATTGATGTGAGTTGGAGGCTAGTATGGGCTACATAGTGAAATCCAGAACAGCCAAAGCTAAAAATGTCTCCCCTCCCCACAAAAAGGCAGTCAGACTTCAGTGCCTCTGTTCACTCCACCCCAGCGACCAGAGGATTAAGGGGAAAAGAGGAGACATTACTTCTAAAATATGAAGCGCTTTAAAAATATTAAAAATTATAGCCATCATTAATGGAGTTGAGATTTTAAAGTAGAAGGAAATATTTGCTAAATATGCAGAAAGCATAAACACCCATAATACATTTAAAAGTCTCTCTCATGGGTGGTGATAGATGACTATAATCCCAGCACTTGGGAGGCAAGAGGCACTGGCCAACCAGGGCTACACAGTGAGACCCTGCCTCAGGAAAAACAAAAACAAAAACAAAAAAACAAAGAAACAAACCTCTTAAAGTCTAGGGAAAAACAACTAAAGAGCTCAGTAGAGAAACCTGCCAAACTCCAGTGAGGTAGGGCTCCTCCCAAGAAGTTGGAGAGCACTAGGGGTCCTTCAGTTCTGCTAGCATCTCCTACTTCAGTTTAGATGAAACAAACAAAAGCCTGCTCCTCTTTTTTGTCCGTTTTTAAATGTCATTTTGTGTGTCTAATTGTGCTTGAGTTGGCCAGAGGAGGTCTCCTTGAGACAGGGTCTCTCACTGAACCTGGAGCAAGCCTTAGCAACTGTCCTGTCTCTGTCACCCCACAGTGCTGGGGTTACAGGCAGTCACATCTGGCCTTTTACATGGGTTCTGGAATTTGAACCCAGGTCCTTATGCTTATACAGCACATGCTTTTCCCTACTGAGCCATTTCTGTAGCCCTAACACAACATTTTCTTGGGAATTTTCAAAAGATGTGATCCCAGTATGTTCTAGGAAGTAGGGGATACAGGGACAGCCTTGTCATATAGAAGGAAACCCAGGGGTGGGAGATGGAAGCATCTGTCCTTGATGCTGCTACAGGAAGCCCTCCACATCTTGGCATTGACTAGAGACCACAGGAGGACTGTGGTAGTCTCTACTGCCCCTGCCCTGGTCCTTGGTTCTTCAGGCTTACCCGAAGCAGGAAGCCATCTGGGCAGGAGAACTGGTCATACCAAATGGCCTTGTACATGATCAGCACACAGCCCATGAGTGCCATGGCAAAGGCGATCATCCTTGCAGTGGGCATCTGGCAGAAGGAAAGGAGCGGAACTTAGTGCAGGTGAACTATGGCAGGGCCAGCCTCCCGGAGGGGATGGCCCCTTAGAACTGGGTGGGGCTGGACACAATATCACTGCCCCTACATCTGTCTTCTGCCTTGAGGTCAGCTCCAGGACCAAAGGTCTAGGAACCATTTTTTTTTTTTTTTTTTTTTTTTTTTTTTTTTTTTTTTTTTTGTGGGCCCAGCTTTGCTGGAATTCTGGAAACATCCTTGATCAGGTAAATTGCTTTGGCCAGTTAAGTTGCATGCAGCCAATTGACCCAGAAGGTACTATTAGGAGCTGGCTTTCTCTGCTCATGTGACCTACAAAAGTTGGTAGTCATCACAGAAGGAGTAGTGGGTGCAGGAAGCAGTGTGTGTGTGTGTGTGTGTGTGTGTGACATCTAGTGAGTCAGGTACATCAGTACTACCCTGAGTGGATCCAAACAAAGAGCAGCAAGGCCTCAGCACTTTTAATAGGCTCTTCCACTGAAGAAACTATGGGAAAGGGCAGGCGTTGCTTCTGAAAGTGGAAAAGCATTAGAAATAGTCAGCTAAAAGTGACTATTAAAACCATCACTGTTGTGGTTAAAAGAAGTCAAAGAGGAGACATTTACCGGACAAAAGGCAAAGCTCTTATCTGTTTCACAGAAAGCCTGCAAGGAGGTAGACAATGATGGGCTGGGAAACAGGTACTTCCTATGGGGAGTGTCTCCCAGGAGCTCAGGCTGCTCAGAAGAAGGTTGGATAAGGACGGCCAGCCAGCACTAGAGGTGACATCTGAGTAGGATTGATCCCTCTTGTCCCTAAGAGACCCAAGTGGGACTCAACCAGGCAAACAAGGCCTGAATTGCTCGTCTAGCCTCTCCCCTGCTCTAACTTCCCCCCAGTGAGGAGTGTTATACTTACTTTGCGCCCTTCTTCTGCGTTGCCGCAGGCCAGCCTTTGACCCTCCAAATCTGCAAACTTCTTTGGCTGGTCTGAGGAGGTAAGCTGATATTCTGTTTGTGTTTTGATGACCACCTAAGGGAAGAGATGGCCATGGCATTACTGGACAGCTGGCAAGGACCCAGGAGAGCCCTGAACTGAGGGGGCTGGGAGCTCTAGTAGCAGTGCTACCATCTGTCTGTATTGTTTGGTGGCCAGTAGAGCTGTAGCATGTCAAAGCTGAAGCCAAAGGAAGATGGACACCGAGAGTCTGATGGGGACCAGAGGTAGCAGTGCTACCATCTGTCTGTATTGTTTGGTGGTCAGTAGAGCTGTAGCATCTCAAAGCTGAAGCCAAAGGAAGATGGACACCGAGAGTCTGATGGGGACCACAGCTGTTCAAGGCCTAGCTGGGCCATGGTTAGAGTTCCTCATTCTACAGCTGCCAACCATTCAGGGTGCTGGCTCTCTGGCATGAATTTCCCCATCTACTACTCCATAATCTGGCTCCTCTCCTTTAGGAGGTCTGACCCAACTTATCTGACAGCTTCCAGAGTCTTGAGCCTCTAACTACATGGGGCTCTGATGTGGGCATTTCTAGGCTGTTTGTAATCTTCAGGGGCAAAGGATAGATCTATCATCAGCATCCACTGTTATAGTAAATGTAGCTGAAGCCCACTCAGGTCACTGGAGAGCTGCCCTGGGCTCCTGATGGGTCAGGCTAGGCCAGCCTTGTGCTGCTCTTTGCTTCTCACTGACTTCTGCTGAAGGTCACCAATGCCCCTCAGTCACCTGCCTAAGAAGCCCTATTTTGTGCCCTAACCTAGAGTCCTGCCCAGAAAAGAAAGAATGGTGTCCTAGTCAGGGTTACTATTGCTGTGATGAAACACCATGACCAAAAACAAGACAAGGAGAAAAGAGTTTATTTAAACTTCCACATCATTATCCATCATTGAAGGAAGTCAGGACAGGAACTTAAATAGGGCCGGAACCTGGAGGCAGGAACTGATGCAGAGGTCATGGAGGGGTGATGCTTACTGGTTTGCTCCTCATGGCTTGCTCATCATGCTTTCTTACAGAACCCAGGATCACCAGTGCTGGGATGGTACCACCCATAATGGGCTTGGCCTACCCCATCAATCGCTAATTAAGAAAATGCTCTGTAGGCTTGCCTGCAGCCAGATCTCACGGAGGCCTTTTCTCAATTGAGGTTTTCTCCTCTCCAGTGACTATAGCTGGTGCCAAGTTGACATAAAACTAGCCAGCACAAGTGGTAACTGCAACTTGCTGGTCCCTTTAGATTACATCCCAGTCTGGGTGCTTAAATTCTGAGGAATCCAGTGGTCAATTTACCCTGTTTCAGATGGGGTGGGGATTCTGGATGTGAGAGAGCTAACCAGGAAGCCACACTGGCCTGTGGTCAGTTTGGATTTCTACCCAGCCTAGCCTCTCCTCAGCACACTTTGGAGGAGGCAGCATCTACATAAACCTTACCCACACCTCTTTGTCGCTAGGCAAACTGAGAAGCCTCCCACACTGTCTCAGGCTACTCACCTGGTCAGAGAATGATGGCTGAAGCTGGCTGACATCCAGGGGGCTGATCAGAGGAACACTGTCCATGGCGGTCCCCTCCTGGCCTCCTGTTTCCTTGCCTGACTTCCCAGAGAAGCTGCAACTCAGCTTCACCATGGTGGAGAGTGGTCCTTGACCCAGCCTAGAAACAGATTTAGAGTCACCACTTACAAGTCATCCTATGGACAGCCGTATAGCTTAGAGTAAGGACATGGAATGGTTCAACACTCCTCAGACAAAATCAAGGGATGTGCTGTAGAAAGTCCAGCTCAAAGTTTCACACCCCTTCTGACCTCTCAGCAGTGCGGAATGGTGCCTCTGGCCAGAGAATATCTCAAAATGGAACTGAGGACTCTTCCTCTGGCCAGCCTGCTCTGGTGTGTGCTTTCAGGACACATATTCCACTGGGAGGAAAAGATTCAAGGAGCAGTTGGTAGAGTTGGACTGCCAGACTCAGCAGGAGGCCTAGATCAAAGTGATTTGTTAACTGTTGATTAAAACAAACAAAACACAACAAAACCCGTCTATCCCAGGCAATATGGGAAAAGTCCATATTAATTGCCATCGGTTATCTATGTGACAAAAGTATACAGTATGGTGGTACAGGAAGACCAGACCTTTGGAGAGCTGAGAACCTATCCTGCCAGTCAGACAGTCATTGCAGCCTGGAGGAGGGTTCAGGTCCCATTGACTCCAGGTAACTCAAGAATGAACACGTTCAAGGTTGGAGAGATGGCAGTTAAGAGTGCTTGCTACTCTTGTGGAGGACCTAGGTTATGTTTCTAGCATCCATATAAAATGCTTTTGCAACCTTCTGTAATACTGGTTCCAGGGGATCTGCTGCCCTCTTCTGGCCTCCACAGATTTCTGCACGCATGTGGTGCACATACACACACAGACATAAAAATGTAAACATAATAAGTAAATATTTTCTAAAAAGGAGTGTACACACTCATCTTGCAGTTGCTCTCAGACGGGAAAAGACCTCTAAGTTGACAGATGGGAAGCAAAACATACCATTACTAAAACCCTCTTGGAGCTGTGTGTGGTGGTGCTTGCTTTTAATCCTGGCTCTTGGAAGGCAGAGGCAGGGACATCTCTGAGTTCGAGACTAGCCTGCTCTGTACATTGAGTTCCAGGCCAGCTAGTAGTGCACAGTGAGACCCTGTCTCAAAAAATAAAATAAAATACTACAAAACAAAACAACCTCCCCATCTCACATAGAACACTAATCCCAGACAAAATCGTGCCAATATAGCCACTTTTAAAAGGAAATACTGCCAATGTGCTGCAAAATTTCCAGAAAAAGAACAAAGGAATCCTCATTAACTCCTAAGGTCACCCCTTCTGCGCCTACCCCTCAGCTCTCAAACACATTGGGAGAAAGACATTCACAGGTCAGTCCCACCCACAGACAATAGACACCTTAAGTAAAGCTTGAGCAAGTTGAGTGCAACAAAATATAAAAAGATCACAAAGGTTGTGTGTATTCTGGGTGTGAAAATTTGAAAGCAATTCCGTGGGGCTGGGTGATGACTCAGTTGGTAAAGTGTTTGCTATGCAAGCATGAGGACCTGATTCAGATCCCCAGCATCCACATAGAAGCTGTGCCAGTGGCTTGCATCTGTAACCACAGGGCTAGGAGGAAATGGGCAGAGAAGCATGAGGACCTGATTCAGATCCCCAGCATCCACATAGAAGCTGGGCCAGTGGCTTGCATCTGTAACCACAGGGCTAGGAGGAAATGGGCAGAGACATGTGGAATTTGATGTCTCAACTGCTAGCTTGCCAGCATAGCTGAAATAGAGAGCTTGAAATTCAGTGAGAGATCCTGTCTTGGAAAGTAAGGTAGAGAGAGTCACAGAGGAAAACACCCAAAGTGGCCCACATACACACAGGTGATTGTACCTGAGCACATAGGCACATGCGCACACATACCACACACATACCACACACACACACACACACACACACACACACACACAGTGCACACAGTGCACACATGAACACTAGAATTTCTTCTAGGTGCACGAACATGGAAAACCAAGACAACAAAGCACTTCAGAGACAATGCAAGAGAATATTTTCAATCTTAGGAAGAGAAAATTTCACCAGCAATACTCAAATTTCACCAGATTTCCTTTCATAGAAGAAAATCTCAATAAAACTGCATTTCATGATGAAATAAAAAACAAAACAAAACCTTTGCTTATCAAGAGAAGGCCTTCAAAGAAGAGAAATAGAAACCCTAACTGGGAGATATTTGCAACACACAAATGACAACAGGTTGTTGTGGGTTAACTGATGTCCCCAAAAAGCAGACACTGAGTTTTAATTCTTAGTACCTGTGAAAGAGACTTTATTTGAAACAGTCCTTATGGTTGTAATGGAGTTAAGATGAGGTCGTATTAGAACAGGTGGCAGGGGTGGAAGTGGGGAAAGTTTCCACTGTGGGCACCCTTACAAGAGGATTTGGACAAAAGAGGAATGCCCTCTGCAGATGGAGGCAGGCTGTAGTGATGGTGACTTTCTAGAAACTGCTCAGGAGGGCAGAAACTGGAAGGAGCCAAGGAAGACACTTTCCTTGAAGCAGAAAGAAGCATGGCTCTGCTGAGATCTGGTTTTGGACTTCCTGCCTTCAGGATGGTAAAAGTTGTGGTTATTTTGAATAGCCACCCTCAGGAGGCCAGTTGCCCCCCAGGCCACCTGCAGATGACCACTGCTTCTCCCTCCCTACATGCCTGGCCACATAGATGTGACAGGCCCCGAGGAACACAGAGGAAATGGTGTTTCAAAGCTGTCCAGTGTTCTGTACCAGGACAGCTGGGTACAGAACTTCCCAGGGAGAGAAGGGAGAGAAGGCAGCTCCCTTCCCCATCTCAGACAGTCCCCCTAAGGCGCTGGTTCCTTTGATGTGTGTTATGCTTGGGACCTTCTGCTTGCCCCAGCCTTATCAGAGATCTAGCAGTTATCAACAAAGAGCCTCTTTAAGGAGTGGATCTGACCCTAGGGAGGGTGCTGGCTCTAAGTTAGCCCTGAGCATGTGGACAATTGGATGGCCTGGGGGCAACCCCTGGGCATTGTGATAGAAATGGAGCGGAAATTATTGTAAAGGCAAAAGAGCCAGGAAAATGGGAACCGACAGAAGATGGCGTCCTCCCCAAACTACTACCATCCTCAAGAAGGCCCTCCCTCCCCACGAGCCTCTCCTTCGGTTGCCATGGTGACGCAGCTGAGGGCTACTTACGTCACCGCGGGTTCCCATGGTAACGGAGGCACAACCCCTCCCCAGCTGCATGTCAAGTTCTCGTCTCCAGGCAGAACATCGAAAACGAAGGGTTATCTGTGGAAAACTCTCCCCTCCTCTTAGCAGCCCAGAAGAGTCCATTCTGGGTCTTGGGGGCCCCGCTGGGAAGATGGCAGGGGTCATAAAGCTTTAGACTTGGGAAGGCGTCCCAGTACCACCAACGGGTCCTTCCTCCATCCTACTCCGGGGTTTGCTACTCATTCACAATGTTCTTGGCAGGGGGGCGGGGTGGGGCATTTCTGCTCACAATCTGGGGGTTGCGCACCGATAAGATGTTGACGGACGAATGATTGCGGACTCTTATTTGAAAGACCATTAAAGCTGGGCTAGAGGTCAGAGACTCGCTTTCACACGCACTCTTTCATGCTGCGTCACACAGAAGTGCACGTTGGTGCGGTCTTATGCCTTCCTCCTGCTTCCCCCCACACCACGGCCCTGCTGCAGCGCCCACCCTGGTCTGTTTGTATCCCAGCCCTGTAGGTAGTGGTTTGCCTCTAGTTTTAAAGGCCGTTGTTCTGCGGCCCAATCAAAGGGGGGCAGCGAGGAGGTGCACGGTTGCTTGAGGCTCCCCACACTCACCGGCCACCTGTGGCCCAGCATCCGAAGCCAAGCCGCGGCAGGTGGTTTGAGACAAGTGGCTGCCCTACCTCCTACCCTCCTCGAACCTTCATGCAGCAACCCCCATCATGCCTTCTCATGCGCAGACACCTAAACGCTCAATGCTCTGGTCAATGCCCCTTCTACTGACCCCTTTCTCCCTATCTATTTCCCCCTTTTCTTCACCCCGCCCCCACAGCAGACAGAACCGACCAGGAACTAAGATTTGTGCCCCTGGGCCACCTTGGGGATGTGCAGCTCCCACTGGCTCTTCCGGACCTGCAGAGGTGGAGCCAGTCTACGGGGAGGGGGTCTGCAGTCACCATGGACTGGGTGGGCTGAGGTCCAGCTGTCTCACGTCTCTGCTACCCTTCTATGCCCAGGGCGGGGAATTCCAGCCTCATATGAGGCTTTTGCAGGCTGAGCAGCCATAATTTTTCTAATGTCCAGGCTACCATTGGACTGTAGGGGTTTCTAGACACACCTCGAGGTCTAGGGACCACTGCACCCTCAAGTCAGCAGAGCTTCCCCCAACTGTCCCGAGAGGTCTAATGACCATCCTCCACCCGAGCCAGCAAGGCCAGCCTGACTTCTAGTGGAGGCCACAGGGAGAAGGCAGCTGTGCTCCACAGCTCTGGCAGCCATCAGGTCAGCCAAATTGCTCCCACATAGACTTCCAACCCCTACACCCATATCCATGCACATACACCCCACACGCACACTCTCACACGCTCTTGCACCCGCCCCCCCATCCTCGCACCTCTCACATCCCTGCACCCTTGCACACCCACGCACACATTCTGGCCCCCTCGTCCCCATTCCAAAATGAGAAACGTGGAAATGGCTCACAGGCAGCTCACAGGCAGTTGCTGCAGGACGCAGTTGCGGGAGGACAGGGATGCGGTGTGGATGCGGAGGATGCAGTTCCAGACGCTTCGCCACCAGGCGGGGCGGGCAAGGGGCTGGAGCCTGAGAACGAGGCTGTGGTTGCCATGGAGATGCAGGCTGGAGGAGGGACCACTGTGGCTCAGGTGGCCTCACACCCCCTCCCACAGCAGACCTCTGCACTGTCTCTAATCACAGCCACACACCTGACATATACACTCCACACACCCCTGACACACATTTCACACACTTGACACACACTTTACCCATCCCCATCTCACATACTGCTAAGACACACTTGACACACACACTTTGCATCCCTGACACAGGCACATGCATACACCACACCACACCACACCACACCAGCTTTCACACCTCATCACTTCACTGCAGGGTGTAGGCACCAAATCAGAGGAGCCCTGGCCGCTGCTCCAGCTGAGATTCTGGGTTTGAGGAGGAGCCAGATCCTTCCTCTGCCATCTTATAGTAGAGCTTGGGGTCAGGACAGCTGAGGTTAGCCTCTTGCCTAGAGAGTACTCCTCTAGGTGTCAGTGTCTGAATTTCTGGGCTGGAAGCTTTTCCAGGACTGGCCTTGTCTATCTTGGTCACTGTTGTCTGTGTAATGGAAATATGCAGAAGGTACTGGAAAGATGTTTGGTTGAGTGTATGCCATTCTTCACACAGGACATCTCTAGTGGACATGCTTCTCCAGGTCTTACACTCCTGAATGATGGTGAACAGTGACAGCACTCTATACCCACAGCTGAGGCTTGATGTTGACTGGAATCTTGTGGTCATGAACCATGGTTTGTCCATGAACAGGTGTCTGGGTTGTTCTCCTTTGTGTCTGTTGCTTGAAATGTAACATTCCTGACCAAGTCTTTGTTAGACGTGTGGTTTTATTGCTCTTGGGTAGATGCTAGAAAGCGCAACTAGTGAGCTGACAAGGTGGGTGCAGGGAATGGAACTCTAGCTCTCTCCAAGAGTATCAAGTGCCATCTTGCCAGGCCTAACACTTTTCAGATGCATAGAGGAGCCCTAGTTTTCCATAGCCACCATTTGTCATTGTCTTATAATAGACATTGGCATCAGCCTGCCAGATGGCTATAACAAACTACCATGGATGGTTAGTGTTACTATTCTGGAGGCCAAAGCTCTGAGATCAAGGGCTGGTGTAGGTCCTTGCTCCTTGACTTGCGTAAACAGTGTCTCTCTCTGTCAGTGTCCCAATTTCTTCTAAATAGGCCACCAATCATACTGGATTAGTGCTTACCCCAACTTCTCATTACTCACCTCCTCCTCCTCTTCATCTTCCTGTTCCTCTTCCTCTTTTTTTTTAAATTTAGTTATTAGTATGTATATAGTGTTCTTTCTGCCTGCACACTAGAAGAGGGCATCAGATCTCATTATAGATGGTTGTGAGCCACCATGTGGTTGCTGGAAATTGTACTCAGGACCTCTGGAAGAGAAGCCAGTACTCTTAACCTCTGAGCCATCTCTCCAAGCCTCTCCTCCTCCTCCTTGAGACAGCATCTTGTGTAGCCTTGATTGGACTTAAATTCTCTGTGTATCCTAGAATGGCAACCATTCCTGGTCTTTTTGACTCCACTTCTTGAGTGCTGGGATTACAGATGTACACCACCGTGACCAATTATGCAGTTCTCAGAATGGGACTCAGGCTCTGGGCATATTTGGCAAGCATTCTACCAACCAAGCTACAGCCTTGTATTAGGTAGGCAATGTTCTCTAAAGGAATAGAACTGATAGAATGGATATACACGTATATATGAGATTTATTAGGTTGACTTAGAGTATGTGATCCTGGTGGTCTGACAATGGTTGTCAGACTGAATAATGGTCTGACAATGGAGGCTGAGAATCCAGTAATTTTTCAGTCCAAGAGACTGTGTATCTGAGCAGTCCCAAGTTGGTTCTGGAGGCCTGGAGGATTCCTGGAGAGCTGCTTTTATGCAGTCTACCAGTGGTCATGTCAGAGGAGCAGCAGATGGCAATTGACTTTAGGGGATTGGTGAACCAGGAAACAAAACTCTAATGGGTGAATCTCAGATAGGCAATGCCTCGAGAGCCTCAGCCCCAGAATGTTTCTTGTTACTATTGACTCTTTGCATGTTTGCCACTGCCATTTTTCTCTGGTATCTGGCATGGTATGAATGGGTATGGGGAGATTCCCCACTGCTCTTAATGCCACATGATCTTTTTTTTTTTCTTTTTTTAGAAATATCGTGTTCTACAGGGCATTATTATGAAGATGATTTCCTCCTAAACTGTACTGTTTAACTGAAGCAATCATTTTATACAAAATAGTATTACTTTAAATAGGATTTTGATGACTGAGGGTTTTTAATAAATATGGTAAGGGATTATGATAGAAGTTAGTTTAGTGGAAAAATTAACATAGGTAAAGGTAGGATAAAGTGTTGTCCCTGCCTCTGATAAAGCAGAGGTTGCAGAGGGAAAAAAAAAAGGAATTATCACACAGCTAGAACACATGAGTTTCTATTGAGGAGCCATATAGACTGTGGCTTAGGTTAATGATTAAGAAAAACAACTAAGTCCCAGAAGCCCAGCTAGTTTAAATTCTTTTAATCTTAATATTGGGAGATGTGTTCACAGGTTTCAGAGTGCATCATAGCTGAAACAGATTTGAAAATAACTTAAGATGTTTCTATCAAATAGCTTTGAGGTGAAAAACCCAAGAAGACAATCTAAAGTTTTAGAAAGGTACATAGCTGAGTGAGGGACTCATCAAGGTCAGGGAGCAAGAACAAAGCAGCCCAATTATCATTAGCTGACGTGCCTTTCTTGCTAGCATTGATTGATGACCAAAGGTGATGATTAATTCCTTAAAACCATTTCTGCCATCAGCTTCCTGATGAGTGGGTGTGCACCCTGAGGATTTAGAGTAGAGATGACTGATTGTTTTTCATATGTAAAGTTTGTGATTCTTCTAAGATTTCTTATAAGATTACCTTTTGAGACAAATAAGAAAACAATTGGTCCTTTCTTTGTAATCACAAAATACAGACTGCCAGCAAAAGAATTGGTGGAGAAAAGTACCTTGCTTGCTCACACTCTGTTAATCTATAACAAGATGCTTGGATATGAATGTAGGTGGACAAAACTTGTTTTTCACCTGTAATATGTAAAATGTTTAATCATGTAAGGAATATGGAACACATGCTGTTTTTTTACTTGTATTCATTATAATCATTCACTTGAAAAATATAATGTAACCACATTGTAAATTTTATATTACCTGAAAGATTTTGCTGAGGTACATAAGCTGTAAGGAAAAAAATAAAGTAAGCTAGAAGGAAAGCATCAAGAGAGACAGAGGGACATTTCTGGATAGAAGTAAGGAAAAAAAATAAAGAACTAAGATAGAAGATGATAGAAAGACCCTGATGGAGTGCATGTGTGTTTTTTTTCTCTCTCCCAAGTCCCAGACAGGTGAGTGCTCACTTACTGGCATGAGAGAATTACTCCCTCAGATAAAAAAGTTCAGGTCCTCTGTAGGCTCCCCCTCAAGCCCTGTACTGCTGGAGGATGGTTCTCATGGCAGCAGAACCAGTCTATGTTGGAATCCGGAAATTGGTTCTGATGCCAAAGCAACAGCGCAGATGAACTTGCCAGTGAGAGTGAGGGCAAACAAGCAATAGGAAAGTTAATTTCTTCCATGTCCTTTTATCTGGATTGCCACCAAGATTTAGGGTTTTTCTGCTTGTACTCAGCAGCTTGGGTTTTAGATGATCCCAGATGCAGTCAAGTTGACAATCAAGATCATTCATCATAATCCTCAAATGTGCTGACTAAATATATGTCAACTTGACACAAACTATAGTCATCTGAGAGGAGGAAACCTTGATTGAGAAAATGGCTCTATAAGATCAGGCTGTGGGCCAGTCTTATTTAGTGATTGATGGGGGAGGGCTCAGCCCATTGTGGGTGGGGTCACCCCTGAGCTGGTGTCTTGGGTTCTATAAGAAAATAGACTGAATAAGTCATGTGGAGCATGCCAGTAAGCAGTTCCCCTCCATGGCCTCTGCCTCAACTCTGTCTTCAGATTCCTGACCTGTTTGAATTCCTGTCCTGACTTCAGTGAGGGACTACAGTGTGGAAGCATAAGCCAATAAACCCTTTCCTCCCTATCTTGATTTTTGGTCATGGTGTTTCATCACAGCAATAGAAACCTTAACTAAGACAGTTCTTAAAAGCCTTTTAAAAAGATCCTGTCTACACATACAGTCACATTCTAAATGATTAGAACTTCAATGTAGAATTGAAAGTCTATGAAGTGATCATAAGAGGCTCAGTCCAGAGCATCTCTGTTGTGTGTGCATCTTAGTGTCCTTTCATTCAGAGTCACCAGTGGCCTCAAAGCTACCTTCTCTCATAGAGAAAATAGCACAGCTTTTATCCAACCGTGTCTTCTCAAAAGACAAGGAGTTCTTGTCTTCCTACAGACTTCCTGGTAGGAAGACAGGGAGAGGGGCCATACCTGGCTTCTTCTTCACCCTCCTGATCTTAGACAAAAGCCTTTCAGTTTAAAACTCTCCTTTTCTCCTTTCAGCAGGACCCCTGCTGGTGGTCTGGATCAACAAGTTCAAGGTCCTAGGGCATGTCTGCATAACAGGTATGGACCAACCAACCATGCTATCTTTCTTCAAACTTACCGACCCTAACTTAGGGGAGGAAACTCTTCATAGACTTTAAAAATGCCAGCTCTAGAGAAGAGACTGCATTTTTGGCTTCCCAAGTCCCACCTCTGCTTTGCAGAAGGTCTTGTTTTCTGTGTGTCTGCTGCATGTGTGTGTCTCCTCACCCCAATAAACCTCTTTCTTCAGCTGATGATTCTGTCTGCTGCTATCTGATGTTTGAGGTGTCTCAGCCTGTTGTGCTCAAGATTTTTCCTTCCTTTTAACTTTTCTTTCTTTCTTTCTTTCTTTCTTTCTTCCTTCCTTCCTTCTTCCTTCCTTCTTTTTTTTTTTTTTTTTTTGGTTTTTTCGAGACAGGGTTTCTCTGTGGCTTTGGAGGCTGTCCTGGAACTAGCTCTTGTAGACCAGGCTGGTCTTGAACTCTTTCAGATCTACCTGCCTCTGTCTTCCAAGTGTTGGGATTAAAGACATTCGCAACCACCGCTCTTTCTTCCTTCCTTTCTTCCTTTCTTCCTTCCTTCCTTCCTTTCTTTCCTCTTCCTTCCTTTCTTCCTTTCTTTCTTTCTTTCTTCCTTTCTTCCTTCCTTCCTCCTTTCTTTCTTTCTTTCTTTCTTTCTTTCTTTCTTTCTTTCTTTCTTTCTTTCTGTTTTTGTTTTTCACTACAAAGTTTCTCTGTGTGTAGCCCTGGCTGTCCTGGAACTTGCTCTGTATACCAGAACTGGCCTCCAACCCAGAGATCTGCCTGTCTCTGCCTCTCAAGTGCTGGGATTAAAGGAGTGTGCCATCACACCCAGCTGCCTTTTAACTCTTTAACTGGCAGAGAAGACCCCTAGACTTATCAACAGTGACAGTTCAATACAAGGGTCTTCCTGCCTTCATTCATTCCTGCCTACTACAGCCATGAAATTAGCAGTCGCCCTTTGACCAGGCTCTTGTGCTTCAACCTTGTGGCTGGGGAGGGCTTCTTGATCATCAAATGTTGATGGAACATTAATATTGTTAATTATTAATTATTAAAAGCAATTATTAATGTTGAAAGCAAAGGTGACTCTTCCTCCCGCAACTGTACTAATTTTGTTTCTCTTGTTCACTTCCAGCTCTCTCCTTCTGGCATCTTGACAGGGAACTCAAGCTTCTGGATTTTCTTTTCTTCATTTTAGGAGTCAGGAGGTCATCAAAAAAGCCTTGTCTCCCTCTTCCCTTTATGGATAGATATATGCTTGCACAACAATTTTGACCTCTCTCAAAGTTACATTATTAAGAGACTAAGGATACAGATACCTTGGGGTATAATCATATCTTCCTTCTGCCTATGTAGACCAGCTAGCATTAAACTTGTTATTTTCTGGGCCTAGCCTTCTGAGTGTTGGGATTGCAAGTATTCTCCACCATGCCCAGTTTTCTTTTCTTTTCTTTCTTTCTTTTTATTTATTTGTTTATTTATATGTAGTTGGAATTTTCTTTGGGCTTCCAACCAGCTCCCAAATAAAGACACATTTAGGCTTGTCCCACTAGCCCTTTTAACTGAATTTAACCTGTTTCTATTCATCTACTTTTTGCCTTGGGACTTTTCACCTTTCTTTCAGTCTGTATGTCCTACTTTCCTGCTTCTTCCTTGTCTGTCTGTCTGGCCCCTGGTGTCTCCCTGTCATCTCCTTTTCTTTCTTCTTTTTTGAGCCTAAATTTCACCTCCTACTTACTCTCCATGTCCTGAAGTTCCACCTATACCTCCTCCCTTGCTACTGGACATTCAGCTTTTTGTTAGACCAATCAGTTGCCTTAGGCAGGCAAGGTAAAACAGCAGCACATTTTTACATACTTAAACAAATGCAACACATCTTTACATAGTTAAACAAATATTCCACACTACTTCTTATTTATTTATTTTTTATTTCTGTGTAGTCACAGCTGTCCTGGGACTTGCTATGTAGTATTAACCCCACCAATCAAGAACAAGACCACTACCATAGTTTAAAGCCAAATTTGAAGCAAGCTTTAATTAAGTACTGGCCAAGTGGATGAGCTCTGACTGGTTCCAAATCCAGGTTTCTAGAAAAGGGCCCCAAATCAAGTTTTGCAGCAGCTTAAGTATTTCTCATCAGGTCCAATCAGTGGCAAGCATACTTCCTGATGTACCTCTAGCCTACATCCAATCAGCGACAAGAGTACATCCTGACATATTTCCTGCCTGTGAACCTCCCACCCACATGTGATGAAGCGTATCCAGTACAGGGTGATCAAACAAACTTGTTTAGGGTTTATTATCTCCCATAAACAACAGCCTCCAGCATTTCAGGAACTATCTGTCCTTGGACAAGGGGTTTACAGATCAGAGTCATTTTTGTTTCTAAGACACAGTAATTAAAACTTAAAATGTAACTTTGGCTCTTACAGTAGACCAGGCTGGCCTCAAACTCAGATCCACCTGTCTCTGCCTTCCCATTGCTGGGATTAAAGGTGTGTGCCACCACCATGCCTGGCATTTTATTAAAATAACTGGTTGAAAGAGATGAAAACATAGCTCAGTGATAGAAAGCTTCTCCAGAAAGTCTCTAACACTTTATTGTTTATTACTAAACAATCAGTTGGTGTAGGCTGTATACACGATACAGATATTACATTTCATATATGCACGTACTGTGTGATGGTCACCGAAGTCATACTAATGCATACATCCACATTGCTCATTGACTCCCCCATCATAAATTGTTCATCTTTCCACGTGTAGTTAGTGCCCTGTGACAACACCCTCCTACTCCAGAGCCTTGGCAAGCACCCTTCCACTTTCTTCTTGAGTTCAACCGTCTCCATTGCACATTAAATTGAGTACATACAGTATGTGTCTTCCTGAGTCTCTGTTACTTGGTTTGGCATGATGTTCTAGAGAGTCATCCCTGAAGAATGGAGGGAAAGCAGGTGTTCTCACCTGCTCCCAGTCTAAGGCTAGACCTGTCAGTTTTTCTTCACTAAATCTGATGTTTTCGAAACATGAATATACACACCTGTAATTCCAGTACTGGGGAAGCTGATCAAGGAAGATCATGAGTTTCAGGCCAGTCTGGGTGGCATAGCAAGACACTGTCTCAACAGAAAAACAAACACAAATGAGTAAATAAAAAAGATGCTTGCTGTATGTTTCTTGGGGAAAGTTTTTTTGTTTTGTTTTGTTTTGTTTTTTAAATCAGGTTTAGAAAGTTCTATCCTTAGCCTCTTCTCTTTCAGCTCTAAGGATTGAACATATAGCCTAGCTCCAATTAAATGTTTTTTTTTTCTTAAAAAAAGTTTACTTTAAATTTATGTGTCTATATGTGTGTGTGCAGGTATGTATTCACATATGTAGGTAGCAATGGAGGTCAAAAGAGTGTGTTAGATCCCCCCAAAATGGAGTTACCAGGAGAGTACTTGCTGTCCAGGATGAATGCAGGAAACTGAATTCTGGTCCTCTGCAAGAGCTGTATATCCTCTTAACTGCTGAGCCATACCATCACCCACCCCCCATTTTAATAGTAAATGGAGACTGGATTTAGTCAAATGCTTTTTTTTTTTTTTGGTCTATTAGAATAAGCACTTTTCCTCCATCTATAGTATAGAACATTAATTTCAATTTTTAAATACCAGACCAACTTTACATTCTTGGGATCAATTTGTGTGTGCTTTACTTGCTAATATTTTATTTGTGGAGGATTATTGGTCTGTAGTTTTCATTTTCATAAAGTTTTTGACTCCAGTGTCAAAGCATTTTCATTACTTTTCTAAAGCTATGACAAATATCACGACCAAAGCAACTTATAAAAGAAAATGTCTAATTTGGGGCTTTATGGTTTTAGAGGGTCAGAATCGATGACCATCACGGTGGGGAGCATGACAGCAGGCAGGCATGGAGCTGAGCAGTTGCTGAGAGCTTACATCGTGATCCATAAGCATGATGCAGGCACACGGAGAGAAAGAGGGAGCAGGGGGTGGGGGAGGAAGGGAGAGGGAGAGAGAGAAGGAGAGGTGGACAGGGAGAGGGGAGAAAGGAGGAGGGGGAAAGAGGGGGGAGAGGAAGTGAGGAGGAGAGGAGGGGAGGTGGAGAGGGAGGAGGTCAGGTGTTGTGTGGGCCAGTCAAGGAAAGAGGCCACCCCAAGATGAATTCTTTAGGCCTGTGTGGCAGCAGGGAGGAGCAGCCTCTGATGGACTGAACCTCAAACAGCTGTTCAAAGGCATATTTATTGATTGTCACACAGAGTTGTTTTTTTTGGTAAACAAGTTCTTCATACCAAAGTCCATCCCTGATCTAATCTTTCCATTTTTTTCTGAAGGAAAACATTACATTCCCACCACTTTAGTCATTACTGTGCCCAATAGTCCAAGAACTTCATGTGTGCCTTAAGTGTGTGTGGTGGCCAGTCATGCAAAGACTGTAAAGCTTCCTCAGAAAAACAATTCTATAAATCATGGAAAACAATCACTGGCTTTCACAATGATTTCTTCAAAGTACTTCTAGAAAACATCTATCCAATCTAATGTTTACCCTAGATACAGTGACTCTGCTGGATTCCTACAGAGAGAGGAGAAGGAGAGGGAGGGAAGAGAGAGAGAGGAGAAGGAGAGAGATAACTGAGAATGACTTGGGTATTATAACCCTCAAAGCCTGCCCCTAGTGATACAGCTCCCCTAACAAGGCCATATCTCATAATCCTTCCTAAATAGTTCCACCAACTGGGGCCAAAGTAGTAAATTTATAAGCACATGCAGGGGCATTCTCACTGAAATCACCACACAAGGTAACCTTGCTCACAGAGGGAGCGTTGGACTGTGTTGGAGTGGTGTGTACCTTCTTTCAATGCTGCTGCCGGTCCCCATTACTCTGAGGAGGGTTGCTGCAAATGTATTTCTGGTGCTGTGCATCTAAGTTGTTTCTTAATATTGTCTCTTCAAATCTCAACAATTTTGGGCATACCCAGGCCAGGAAGTGTTTTTATTTTTGGGTCTCCCCAAAGCTCTATCTGCAGTGACTGCAGGGGACAACAGTTCCCTGAGCCCTAGCCATAGTTGCCTCTCTGAAAGTGGTGTACCCACTTATCTAGGGCTTGGTGGGAACAACCCAAGGTGCAGCTGTTTCTGGCAGTGACAACTGCTCTATCCTGAAGTTCCAAAAGAAAGGGACAGGGCCTAGAAGCCCTGCAGAGCCTGGTGTTATGATCTTTAATCTTTCCTATAGAATCCCACCCTGGGCCAACTTTGGGGACACTCAGCTACAGGGGTATTGTGGCTGGCAGTCTGAAGCTTAGCCCCTTGGGGGGGCTAAAGGGTAACATTTGAAGGCACAGAGCCAACTGCCTATCTATACAGAAGACGTCAGCTATGGCAGTTGAACAGGAGCTAGTGGTGCTGTTAGCTCCTGGTGGGAGGTCTGGGGCTAAAGTGGGCAGGTCATGGTAGAACTGCAAGGTAAGAGATCAAAAGTCTCCTGGTGGCTCAGTCTGTGCTCACTGCTCAAATTATATGGCAGGGCAGGGTTGCCTATGGACCAGTGATTGCTGGCCACTGACCTCTGGTCGGACACACCCACGTAGGAGCCATAAAACCCTAAGCAGCCAGGGCTGGGGGAGAGGACCAGGCACCTGAACACTGGGATCTGCAGCTTCTCTACTCGCCTAGAGCGCCTCAGCATCGTGAGGGAGCCCCAGTCATGAAGAGGTGATGCCATGGCCCCTGGGCCCTAACTTTCTGACCCTTAAAATTTGGCAGCTGGGCATTGGTCAGGGTGGGCCTGGCTGTGTGGTTAGGGTCACACTGGGTCTGAGTCTGGCTTAGAGTCTATTCCCATCTGAAACCTGATTCCAGGGGAGCATCTTAGAGGAAGAAAGGAAGGAAGGAAAGAGGGAAGAGTCCCCTTTTCTGCAAAACACCCACCCTCAGGTCTGTAACTCAGGGTTTACCTCTAAGAGCAGCCCAAGTGGCTTCCAGATATGTATGAGGGTGCATTGTCCCATGAGGTCTCTGAACCATTAAAGCATTAGATCCTAAAGTTTTCCTGGGAAAGAGGCAACAATTCCAGGCTGTGGTGACCCAAAAGAAAGGGGCAGTGTCAGGGTAGGGGGCATAGGGGAATATGTTGTAGGCCTTTGAGGCCTGGTGGGAATAGAGGCAGGACAGGAATCAGGCAACCTGAGGGTTGGTCACCCAGAAGCTAGGGTTTTATTCTCAGGTAGAACTAGGGCTCCTGTAGGACCCTAGGCCATCTTGGAGGCAGAGGAGGGGGGATGGCTAGGACCTAGGATGAGGTTCTGCATATTCATCTCTCTGCCCAGCACAAGAATAGGCCTCTGACTAGTGGCTCTGTGGTAAGACAGGGCCACTCAACTCTACCTGGCCAGATCCCCACCTGCTGTTCTTTGACCCCTGTGCTGAATCACAGAGAGGAGAGAAGGTTTCTTTGAGGCTTGAATACACACACACACACACACACACACACACACACACACACACACACACACACACACACACACACCAGACATATATGCATGCACATGTATACCATATAACACAAACACATGTATACTTCACACGCATGAATACTTTTCTACAACCACATGTTCAGAAACACTTGTCATTCCTTCTGTCTGCATGATGGGGATGGGGCTACTGGCCAACTGAGATCCTAATAGAAGCTACCTACCCCCAGTACCATGGGTCACGACCTCAGGAGCACTGTGGCATGGCATTGTGCAAGGGCCTCCATCCATCCTGTCACTGTTGTCACACACATGTGTGTGCAGGCCCATATGTGTGTCCCTTGTATGGCCTCTGGAATCCTTAGCACTGAGTGCCAGTGTCCTGTCACGGTAGGATCTGCCTAAAGCATGGGGTATCTTGGCCACAGGTAGAGAACTTGGCATCAAGACATGGAGCAGGAGTGCCCTGAGCATCTTGCTTATCCTGCCTGCAGGTCCTTTCCTGTGAGATCAGATTTACCAGGGGATCATCAGGGACCTACCCTTGGTCTCTCTGTCCAAGACACATGCTACCAAGCCCAGTAGGTCTTGACTGGATCATCAGGAGCTGAGGTGACCCCTCACTATCTCACACTTCCTCTTTGCTCCCCCAGGTTTCTCCTGGCCACCTGTCTGGTGGCTGTGCTGCTGCAGGAGGCAGGTGCAATTCCAGCACGCCAGGTATGCAGGGGCCCCTCTACCCAGCCCCATATCTGGCTGCTAACCTCTGTCCCGGTTAGCATGGTATATTGGAAAAGACCTCTTTTTCTCCACCCAAAGCTGGGCAAGGAGAGGGGAGGCAGGGTAGAGGCCATGCAGTGTGTGGTAGCAGCATCATGTGAGCACTGAGGAAGAGAAGAGCATGGGGGTTAAATCTCCTTGACACTCAGGTTACCAGGTGAGGAGCTGGGCTTCCATAACATCCAGGTGACCAGAAGGACATGGGGTCTCCATCATATCCACATAACCACATGGGGATGTGAGCTTTTATGACGCCCAGGTGACTCCAGGATGAGGGAATATGGTCCTCTGGAGCACCTAGGCTATCAGGTGGGAACATGGGCCTGCATGACATCCAGGTGACCCCAGGATGGGAGGATATGGGTTCATGACACAGATGATTACAGGTGGGGACATGGACATCCAAAACACCTAGGAAGACCCTGTGTGAGGTGGGTCTTCCCTATACTTACCCTGACATACCCTCTGAGGGCATGGTCTGGACTGGTAACAGAGGGCCCAGTAGGAAATGAACTGAGCTTGCCCTGGGCCAAGTCCACTCAGTCTGCACACGTGGCAGTGAAAGAGGATGAGGGAGGTTAACCCTTCACAGCCACTCACAGATTCTTAGAGCTGGACACTTCCCCAGGGTCATCATTTACCTCACTTTCCTCCTGGTACTTTGTCTCATAAGGTGTTTAGTTCAGAGGAGCTGACTACCTTCTGGGCCACTAGCCAGGATGGGGAGGGGCAAGCACAACCTTAGTTGGTGCAAAAAGCCAGGGTGTAGTGAGGGTGCACAGTCCAAGATGAGTCCCAGGTTCCTGCTGAAGACCTCTACTTTCTCCTAGGCTGGCTGGGTTTTCAGGTAGGCTGGCCATCTGGGGACAGACTGGTGTCCTAAATTCCCTACCTGTAATCCTTGTATCTATGGTGACCGTTATCCCCTAGAGTTAAATACAGGTTGAGCTGAAGCCCTGTGTGTATGTGGGCCTTAGAGTGGCCTCTTCCTGGGTGTCCTCTAAGCTTGGGCTACTAACTGGCAACATCCCAACCTGCGACTTATCTCTTAGGTACCTGTCAAGACCAAAGGCAAACATTTGATCCTTGAGCAGGAAACAGAGAAGTAAGTGCCCCAGAAGGCAAGTGTGGACTGGTGCACTGGGGGATGGAGAACGTGGTAGTTCAGAAGCTTCTAGAAGGAGGTGATACTCAAATCCTACAGATCCCTCCTTGGGAATTCTCTCCCAGGAACCCCAGGTCATCTCCCAGGGATCCCTGGCCATCTCCCAGACTCAGCTCTCTCCTTGGCCTCCTATGGACTAAGTTTTAGAGTACCATAATATATTACTTCCCTTGCCCTTGAGGACCCAGCCCAGGGAAGGCTCTGACTTTCTCAGACCCCACCCCTGTACTGAGTGATTTAGAAGTGCTAGGGGAACAAAGTCATGTACTTGTCCCAGGTCTTACAGGGCAGATGATGAAGTGAGTGGGTATGGAGTGGCTTCCCAGGCCCAGCAGCTGCCTGGGGGAGAGAATGTCTTCTAAAGTGGGGCTGGTCATGTCTAACTCTTCCCATCTGTGTGTGAACCTTACCCTACTCATGCTGGCAGGGCCTTGGGTACCAAAGTCATGGAGCCCCTGGATAAGGACAACCAGCTGGGGGCACTGCTGCCTGTGCCCAAGGAGAGGCTTGCAGCTGCTGAGGAAAAGCGTTCAGGTCAGAGTGGGGACCAAGGCCACATCATGGGGTCCATTTGGACAGAAGGCTAATGGGGAGGAACTTGTGAGGGAGACTGAGGCCACACCTACTCTGCCTCTCCTCAGATGCTGTGACCTTGGTGGAGACTGAAAAAGATATCCTGAGCCGTTTTCGGAACCCTCTTTACGGTCCAGAACTGGATCTTGACAGCATTCACCATCCGATGTATGAGGAGGTCCAGGATGAGGAGGTGCCCCAGATGAGGCCCATGTTGATTCGCCAGGTGCTCCAGGGGCCAGAGGAGGACCTTGACCACATCTCCCACTCCCTGGAGGACTCCTAAGGGCCCTAACCACTCTCCCTCTCCTATGTTGAGGTCCAGGCTGTTGTGACCACTGACTCTCCTTAGCTAGCAAAAAATAAACACCTGCAAACAGGTAGAAGTCATGAGTATCTTTAAGACCAGCAATCCTGGGGCACAGCAGTTGTGTCTAGGAGGAAGTATTTCTGCCCTAGCTATGCTCATCAAAAGCTTCCTATGGGGCACAAGGTCTAGATGACTCTCAGCTCATGAACAGTTCTCCTCCTTGGGCCCATCTTTCTGCATGTAGGGATGAAGGGATAGGTATGTCAGCAATCAAGTATGGGGACCAGTTAGCATCCTCAGTCTCAGCAGGGAAATGAGACCTATCCTGGAATTCCCACAGAAGAGGCTGAGAAAGGAAATGCTTGATGAAGGGGTGGGAGGTTGGGTGGGACTCAGGCACACAGTTTCACATGTGTATAGGAACACACATGCATAGATGCACAGCTAAATGTGCAGACACATAGGTACACCCACGTACACGTTCATAGTTACAAAGATGTATATAGGTGGCGCATGTTTTTAGTTACACAGGCACATAGGGACGGTGGTGGGCAGGTACATAATAGCTTCATGTGCACACAGGTATAGAGGTATGTGGCTATGCATGTTCATGGGTACACAGGCAGATAGACACGTAGGTAAACAGGTGTGTGCACACATATGTAGGTGCTTAGAAGAGTGACTCAGAAGCCGGGCGTTGGTGGCACAAGCCTTTAATCTCAGCATTCGGGAGGCAGAGGCAGGCGGATCTCTGTGATTTTGAGGCCAGCCTGGTCTCTAGAGCGAGTGCCAGGATAGGCTCCAAAGCTACACAGAGAAACCCTGTCTCGAAAAATCAAAAAAAAAAAAAAAAAAAAAAAAAAAAAAAAAGAGTGAGTCAGGACATATACTTTCTGTCCTATTTTTCTGGGCAGCACCTGGATCTTCCTGGGGTGCCTGCCCACATGGCCTCACTCAGGCCTGAGCACCTAAGATGAATTACCTCACATGTGGCATATAGTACTGGGGTAGTCACCCCACTCTTGCAGTGGGGGCACTAGGGGCCACAGAGCCACACATTTTCCAGCTCAGGCAGAACAGACAGCTTAAGGGAAGCCATCAGCTCTTTGTCCCAATGCACCCAAACCCCATGCAGCCGTGTAGGCTACCTATCAATCTCACCTACCCTAGAACTCCATGCATGTCTCATGATCCCACTCCTTCAAGGACATGAGTGGGAGGAGTGAGGGCTCATGTGTGTCCTGGCCTCTAAGCCCCATGAAGCAAAACCCAATGTTTCATCTCATAGATGAATCAGGGGTCTTTGGATTACTTGAGTCCACTGGCCCCACATTGCAGATGGGTCCTCAGATAAATCTAGTGACCCACATTACAGTCCAGCATTCCAAGTCCAGGGTCCTGTAGATGAAGAGCAAAGCTCTGACAGAGACCTCAAGGCACAGCCCCATCTCAGGGTATTCCACCTGTCATTCTGGTAAGAATCTGGATCTAAATGAATCTATTCACAGTCTCTACTCAAAAGAGCAGAGGTGCAAAAACACTATTGAGATCCCAGGTAGCACCAAATCCCACATAAAGAAACCACGGGGGCTTTCCTTTCCCACTTTATCACTCCTGGCCCCTGGTCTAGTCCTGGAAACATTCAGGGCAGGTCTTCCCCTGCATGGCTAAGTCCCTCTGGAAGGCACTCTAGACCTATCCCAAGGTGCATTAATTTTCCAGGCACTTTCCAATTCAGTAGTGTTGGATTATCACCAAGCCTTTCAATGTCATTACTCCTTCAAGTCAGAGACTCAGGTACAGGTGGTCAGGAATCAGTGCCCAGTGGTCACTCTGCCCAGTGCCCATGATATTAGATCCATGGTCAGAATTTGAGCTGGCACGCCTCCATATTCCCTGAATCTAAGCAGAGGACCTGCAGATGCTGGGGTTCCAAGGACCCGGTGTTTTATTGGGGCCAAAAACATCTTCTGGGCCAGGGTAGTATTGTGGCCAGGTTTCTTTCCAGCTTTGCCTAAGCTAGGGACCTCTATGGGCATTTCCTCCAAAAGGACGACTGTGCTGGAGAGATAGCTCAACAGTTAAGAGCACTTGCTGCATTATAGGAACTGTCCACTCACCCAAGGGACTCTTGGTTGTTTGCAGCTTTTGGTTAGTACAAAGCTGCTATGAACATTCACCAATAGTCCGCAGACATGTGGTGCAGACACGTCTAAGCATTCAGTAGAGAAACTGTTTCAGGCCCTCCTAAGTTCCTCTCCCACAGTCTTGTTACTTCTATCTGCAATTCTGAGCCCCAGTTGATTCTTTACCACCTGGGACAATAGAGGATTCAAAGCTGGGAGCAGCCAGGTTGTATCTGAGTTCCTGGGCTTAACACAGCTGCTCATGCATAGGTAGTGGGTACTCAACCTGCCAAACATAGGCACGGGATCCAGCTCACAACCAGACCTCTCTGACCTTGAACCAGGGAGGTCAGCATTACCCTCCCTTGCAGCTGAGCAGTCATCTCTGGGTGTCAGCATCCTTTCATCTAAAGTGTGCAGTCGAGCTCTGCCCCCTGCCTTCTGGCTTAGAGCTCAGAGATTGGCCCCAGCCAAGAGTCACTCTGTGTTGCAAACCAAGTGGCAATGCAGAATCTCCTAATTCCCACAACCATCCAGTGCAACCACCTGCAGCCCCAGCTGTGCACCCTACCCACCATCAACTACCAGCCTAGCTCTTTGCCTAAGTGCAGGCTGCAATCACAGACTCAATCCAGCTCTCAGGTTCCTACCCAGGCCTAGCTACTGCCCAGCTCCCAGCCCTCAAGCCAGCCCTATGCTTCATTTCCCATGTAGATTTTCCACCTGAGGATTCATCGAGGATGGGTAGGGGTGCTTATTTGGAAGCTAATGGACCCCATGGAACTCACCACAAGACAATTTTAGGCATACAAAACCTTTAAAGATTGACAGTGACTATTCTCCCCTCCCCTTTCAATTTCACAAATCAGGGAAGGAGGAAATCTCTGCCAGGGTCAGCCGTCACTCAAGATCTGCCAATTTCCTGAACCCCAGACTGGGGTCCAGGTCTGGGTGCTGTAAAGGGGTGACCTGCTGATTGGGTTCAGGTGGTCTCTATGAGTGATCAAGGTCAAGAGTTCCCTTCTTGAGGATAATGTTTCCATAGAGCGCCATCTCCCTGCAGGAGGGTCAGTGTGCTGAGACTTTTACTTTTGCTTAGTTTTGCTTCTATCTCGCCGCCCCCCTGCCCCCGCCCACTCAACAATGTCCAGGATCTCTGCCGCCCAAATCCCTTCTGTCTTCCTGGGCAAAGCAGAGATGGAGGCAGTTCCCAGGGACCTGGATAAGGACTTTCCCAAGTCACCTGGATGCAGCTGAAACTCACCCAGTGGCAACAACAGCAAATGCCTTTTTTGCACGCTCATAAAATTCAAATCTCTCTATTTTCATCAGGGCTTTCTGGAAGACAAAATGGCATGGTTGGAGGGACCTTGCTTAGAAGTCCTCTGGGTGGTTTCCTGTGTTGAGTACCCCATCAGGAAATAACTAGGAGGCAGCAGCAATGATCTTGGAGGCTCCATTCCTCTGGTTCTCCTGATGCTGGGGTCTCAGTGTACCAGGGACAGGGGCATCTTTTACATCCCTGCCTGAGCCTGTGATGGACAAGGTGCCTGCTGGATGGGAACTCAGCTCAGCAAACCTCTAAAGCAGCAGTTGTCAACCTTCCTAATGCTGCCACCCTTAAATACAGTTCCTCATGTTGAGGTGACTCTCAACCATAAAATTATTTTTGTTGCTACTTTGTAATTTTGCTATTTTTATAAATCCTAATGTAAATATCTGTTTTTCCTGATGATCTTTTCGGGGTCATGACCCACAGGTTGGGAACTGCTGCCCCAGATCCTCTAAACTGCCTTGTTAGTCCCCTGCTCAGGACAGCAGTCCTCAAACTGGTCCTGCTCAGGCCTGCTACTGGCTCCTTTAGGAGCTGGATATGTCCTCTGCCAGGCAGGGATATGGGCTGTGTGATATGCAGACCTTAGTAAGAACCAAGTGACAAAGAGCAAGACCTAGGGTGAAGGTACACATCCAAAGAAGGTCATAGGGGGCCCACCAGGCATTCCACAATCCTCTGGTTCAAATGGGACTAATTCTCCAGCATATAGGCCAGGATTCTGGGAGGAGGAGGGAGAGGAGGATGCTTGGGCAGAGAAGAAGGAGGCTGGAGGGAGGTGGCCACAGGGCTCGGGAACACCACTTCCATCTTCACTCCCATGATTCACCCTTCCTGATCCTCCAGGAGACAGAGGGTCTCATGATTGCGGCTGCACTCACCTTGCAGTCAGCTTTGAGCAGAAGGGATTCATAATGGTTCCATATGGGGGTCTGCAGGCCCCTCTCCTTGTCACTGGGCACGAGCTCCATAACAGCAGCCTGGGGAGACAGGAGTCAGTTCTGTGGCCCTGGGTATGTCCAGGGCTCCTCTGAGGGAGGCGGCCCTTTGGTGACAAGTCTGGCGCAAAGATCAGCAGCATAGCTTTTGTTCCTCACCGGGCTTTCCACATAGGTGTCCAGGGGCAGCAGCTTCAGCACAGCCTCCAGGATCTGTGGGATGTCTAGGCCTGGGAGGGCAGAGCTGGGGTCAGGCTTCTGCTCTCATCATGACCTGTAATCCCACCTGTCTAAAACTTTCATTTCGGGGCCACAGTAAGCAGACAGTCATCAGGCACGAAGGACCAGGACAGAGGTCACAGAACCAGGACCGGGCCCACCTATGGTGCTTACCATCTGCTCGGATCTCTACAGGCCCGCACTGGCAGATGGAGGAAGTAGGGAAGTTCGCATCTGCAAGAACTGAAGGGAGAGAAGGGGGAAAGCCGTTTCCAGTCAGTGCGGTTCTCCCTGGAAGATGGTCAACTCACATATGGCAAAGCCACACATCCTTGTGCATTATCAACAGTCCACCATCTGGGATGTCCCCATGCTCGGCCAGTATATACCTCCCACTGTAGCAGTGGGGGTAGATCATGGGTCAGCCCATTAGATCAGTTGGAAAAAAAAAAAAAAGACACTATAAATGAGGCAATGAAACCAGTGTCTGGGAGGAGGAACCAATAGTTTCACCCCAGCCTCAGGCTGTCCTTCCTTGCCCTAGGCCACGGACAGAGAATTCAGCAGACCTCAGGGCAGCTTGGAAGGCCACATGGGAGATCTGGGAACTATCCCGCTGCTGAACTTGGAACCTACTTTGCCCTTTTCAGAGTTCTGTGGCCTGGGCCAATGATAGGCCTCAGATCAGCTCTTTCCTGAAGCAGCTGAATGGCTTCCTGTTCTGAAGGGTAAGGTGACTATGGCAGTGTCCCAAGCCTTTGCTGGACCCTGCCGGTTAAGAATTCCCCGTGCGGATCGCTCCCCTGCTAGAGGTCCGTGCTGCCGGCTCGCTAAAAGCTCACCAATCTCGTCTCCGTGCCCCATCCGCGCAAGCGCGAACAGCAGCTCCGGGGACAGCACCTTCGGAATGCCCTTGAGCGCAACCATGGCCGCAGAATTGGTGGGAGGCGGGAGTTGTGGCCAGGGTGGTGCCACGTGAATTGGGGCGGGGCCAGAGGAGAGGCAGCTCCAACTGCTGGGTAGCTAGCTGGGTTAGGCCTTTGGTTCTGGGGTGATGTGCAAAACTCTGAGGCCTGGCAGATTGTGGGAAAGTAAGTCTGTGTGGCAAGGACAAAAATGCCAGAGAAGAACCTTCGAAAGCAGGTCAGGCATGGCCTTGGCCCTAGGATATCTGGTGCCCCAGCTCAGATGGCCAAATAGGGCCACTGCTGCCCAACTTGGTGGCAGTGATGGGCTAAGGGTGAAAGGTAAATTTTCTGCTTCAGTTTGTGAGTGGCTTCATGGGATTGGGGCAAATATATGAGGCAAGCCAGGATAGAGGCAAAACCAAATCAAAATCTCCAAATTGTACTGGGTCCAGAGACCAAATAGTTTGTAAAATACCTGAGAGCTTCACCAGGGCTTGGACAAACTCCTTTTTGGGACAGCCTGCATACATCTCATTGTCTTGAGCTCTCTGAAGCCATGGGCCAGCTAGAAGTTGGTGGCTGTGATTGGGTTCCTGTCCTGCCAGGGTGGAACCAGTGAATTTATCACACATAGGTCTGGGTGTGCTATGCTAGGTCCAGGGTTAAGACAGAATCTCCAATCGAACATCTTAAACACTGTTTCAGTTTTCAGAACAAATGACTGAGGTATGTGCTCAGTGCACACACACAAATTAAACCAACGAGAGGTTGGAGAAATGGCTCAGTGGGTAAGACTGGGGTTTGGTGGCTCATAACCATCTGTAACTCTAGTTTCAAGGGATCCATTGCCCTCTTCTGGCTTCTGAGTCTCTAGGCACAGACATAAATGCATGGAGAACATTCATACATTTTTTAACAGTTAAAAACAAACAACTAATGAACTGATTACCTTAGTTTCAAGGTTTTCCCCTATTGAGTGGTCACCTCCTTTGCTTGTTCATTCTAGACTGTGGGTCAATCAATGGCTAACACACACCTCCCCGGGTGTCCAGGTTTAGTAAGTGAACACTGGGACTGGTGAGATGGCTCAATGGCTAAGAGCACCCTTGGTTTGATCTCCAGCACTCTCATGGTGGCTCACAACTACCTGTAACTCCTGTCCCAGGGAATCCAATGTCCTCTTCTTGGTGGGGGGCCTCATGGCGGCTCATAAACACCTGTAACTCCTGTCCCAGGGAATCCAATGTCCTCTTCTTGGTGGGGGGGAGTGGGCTTCACCAGGAGAAAGTCCCCAAGACTTGGCTTCCAGAATAGGGAGCTTTGGTTGAGATAGTGTGTAGTGATCACGCCAGTTACCATGGTCTGGGCTGTATATTAACTTCATGAAACAAACTTTGAATACTTGGATATGATGTATGTCTTAATCTGGAGTGTAGGTAGGCCTCAACTCTCACCCCTCAAACCCTCCAACCCTGTTGATTTTGAGTCAGGGTCTCACTATGTAGCCCCAGATGTTCTAAAACTTGCTATGTAGACCAGACTTGCCTCGAACTCAGAGATCTGTTGGCCTCTGTGATGTGAGTGCTGGGATTAAAGACGTTCCTCACTAGGTACATTGATTTTGAGTCAGGGTCTCACTATGTAGTTCTAAAACTTGCTATGTAGACCAGACTGGCCTCGAACTCAGAGATCTGCTGGCCTCTGTGATGTGAGTGCTGGGATTAAAGACGTTCCTCACTAGGTACATTTTATGAAAATGCCATGAGGTTCAGACAGAAACTGCTTCTACATAGATCTCCATTCTCATACTGACAGGTGCTGAGGGTGCTGCAGAACAGCCTTGATGTCACACTGCCACAGCAAACAGGCAGTTACTTCCCTACATGGAATGAGGGTCTGGGCATAGCAGATCCTAGGGCCCTGGCCACATGCCACTGAGATGCTAGGGCTAGTGTAGAAGGTCACTATCCTACTGTCTGTCCATTGTAGCCCAGACAGTGAGAACCTGGGCACTGTAAATATATATTACCTTGTTAGGGATGGTGGAATACAACTATAGTCAAAGTTATCTGGAAGAGGTTGAAGCAGGACTGTCTGTACCCAGGAGCTCAAGACAAATATATTTTGAGCAATATATTGAGATGGCCTCAAAAAGAAATATTTACCATATTACTGTGAGAATGGCATGTCCTCATCTCAGCATAAAAGATTAGGCTTTTCTGTTTTTTTTTTTTTTTTGGAGGCAGAGGCGGGCCAATCTCTGTGAGTTCCAGGCCAGCCTGGTCTATATAGTAAGTTCCAGGCAGCCAGGGCTACATAGTGAGACCCTATCTATAAGAAAGTAACAGCATTCCCACCAAAGGAGAAAATAACAGCAATAATAATTAGAAAACACATTCATTCTCTATAGACAACTATAGTTGAATTGAAATTAAAGAAGTAGTCACTCTAATTGAATTATTGTGCACTTGGAAACATCTGAGAGTGCCACTTCCCAAGCTGTATACTGTTGACACTGTTGACAGTGCACAGGGGTATGGGTAGTTGAAGCACACACCTGCCTCTGAAGTGAAGTAAAAAAGTAAAAATAAAAAAATCAAGACACCTTGAACGCTTCCCAGATTTCAGATTTAGAAGACTGAGAGATTGGTTTCCATCACTGTGATGGTTGCAGGCCACACCATGAGTACGAGTACCTGAGCTGTGGCCACAGCCCCAAAGCCTTCGGGAGGAACTGTGGCCTGTACTACCCTTTAGGACAATTTATTTCCCTCTCAATTGACAGGCTGAGCTTTCCTCTTCAGGATGGCACAAGGCTTAGCTGCCAGCCCTCAGTGGTCTTTGAAGTTGGCTTTCCTTTTCTCCACAAATGCAGCCATTCCTTCTCTCCGGTCATTCTGGCAGGAAAAGGAAGAAGGGAGGTGAAGTTTACATTTTCCTATCGGGCCCCTTTGGCTGACTGCCCAACTCTCCAAGGTGTTTATGCCCTCCTCCTTGCCTGCTTTCCAGGCTCATCGACAGGACAGTGATTCTGCAGTGAACCCACCTGCAGCCCATGAAAGATGGGATTCCCCACAAACAGTGCTATGCTTGGGGCCAGGGGGTTGTATACCACCCAGGACACAGTCTCTCAGGAGCCATGACATGAGCACCAGTAAACTTGAGTTCACAGCACCTCTGCATCTGAGTTGGTAGGGTCTGAGTTGGGAATCTTCCACAGAGCTATGGGGCAGCAACAGAACACACTATGTGCACACATCTTCATTCTTCCTTAGGGACCCAAACCAATTAAAATCTTTTTTAAAAATTTTTTTAAGTGTGTGTGTGTGTGTGTGTGTGTGTGTGTGTTTGTAAATGCAGGTGCAGCACAGAGATCAAAGGTGTGGAGTTGGAGTTGCAGGTGATTGTGAGTCATCTGATGTGGGTGCTGGGAAGTGAACTCAGGTCTTCTGGAAGAGTAGTACATGCTCTTTAATACTGAGCCAGCTCCCCAGCTCCCCAGCTCCTTAAGTGTGTGTGAGTGTGTGTGTGTGTGTGTGTGTGTGTGTGTGTGTGTGTGTGTGTGTATATATGTATGTTTTTATGTTGGGCCTGTGGTGTAATGGATAATGAATCTGATGGTTAGAAGATTCATTAAAACACCTAGACCTGAGCTTCTGATATGAGGTGAACTACAGCAAGTATGGTGCCACACCCCTTCAATCTCAGCATGCAGGAGGCTAGGGCAGGCAGAGATGTGTGAGTTCAAGGCAAGTCTGGTCTCAATAATGAGTTCCAGGCTAGCTAGGGCTA